GCTGAAAGGCGCTCTTCTCCTTGATCGGGCGCATCATTCCGGTCCAATATCTGTTGGATCGACCTGTATTGGACCAAGAAATAACTCAAGAAATCAGCGAGTAGTACTAAAATAAGTTACCGTTGTAACTCTGCCGGTCGAAGCATTCGCTTGCCGTGGAAGATATTGACTTTATACCAGCATTTGTTCGAATACACTGCGATATGCCGAGCATCAGGAAGTCGAATCATTACATCTGTAGAAGTTTGTTGAGAATTTGAGATAAGTTCGTTTAGATTTCAAAAAACCCTTTGCATCACAATTCCTGTAAGGGTGAAGCCTTTTGTGATGCTCAGTCCCCTCTTAGAAAGATTCACACATTTTGTTCCACAAGCATTTAGTCCAGTCAACCGCCGGGACCTTCCTTCTGCGTGCGTTATGTCTTGCGCTGTGGTCCCTTCCACCTGTGACACCAACACTTCGTGGAGCTTACGCGTATGCAACAAAAGGAGTTTCATGAAGTAGAGGGCATCGCCATAATCATAATATGACGGTAGATTTTTTCGCCTCCCCTCCCCATCCTTCTTTCCTTCACTTCCCTCCAGCTGCCACTGCAGCACCATGGGAATGCTCAGCAGATGTTTATATAGCCGTAGGAGTGTTATCACAATTATCCTGCTACAAAACATTGATACCTCGAGGAGCTACCCGATTTGCTAGCGGCTGTTTACTCCATGAGCTCCTTATCACTCACTTCATTTTGCGGACGGACAGACGGACATACATACTTACATACATACATACATACAGACAAACATACAGTACAACCGACACACCAATGGTGGGCATCTCCGTGACGCGGCCTCGCGGTCACTACAAGGTCTCAAAGCTCGAAGCAAGGAGGAGATGGAGAATGGGGAAAAGCCGTTATGCAAGCAGCGTTGTTATCATTTTAGACGCAAATGGTACTGACTAGTTAACCTCGAAATATGATCCACGGACAGTACTATGGTCACGCGTTGTCACTTGCCACTGCACCACGTCCACATTTATTATGATCCAGACAAAGGCATGGGGTAGTAACAGTAGTGCTTCGATCAAATTCCAGACTGATGAGCTTTGATGAGATCATCTGTGTATCGCCCGTCCCTATACTCTCTCGTCTCGGCGGTAAGTGTCTTTCAAACTATCCCTCTCGTACACTTGTCAAGCACCCAGAGGAGGGTGGTGCCTCTCCTAGAGCAGTTTCTTTTCCCATTCCGTTAACTATTTACACTGCATCCCTGCTTTCATTTTTGAGCGCACGAATGACACGTAATGAGAGTGAAATGTGCGCTGAAAAGCATGTTTGAACCGAAGCGGCTTCAGGTGACCTTAAGAGGTGGTGAGCATAGAAGATGGTTTCCGACCACCCCATCTCTGCCCCTACCTCAGTGCTGAGGAGCTTGCGTTGACCATTTGACGCTCCAACGGACATCATTAAGAACCCACTCCGCTTCCAAATCTCGTGTTGCATGCCTCCATTTACCTTCATCATTCTGTTCCATTGCTAATAACAGTAATTAAGGGCTCACCGCTTGTCTCCCGAGGGACTCGCAACGAACGGTGATAGTCCGTATATTGTGAACTGCACAATGGTATCGGACCCATAGAGATTTCTATAATTATAGTGTTGGAAGCTTATTTCTTCGAAAACGATGGACAAAAGTTCAAAGGAGGCCTTTTCTTTGAGGTCTGCAAATGTAGTTGAACTCACGGGTTTCATGTGTTCGTACGAAAATGTCCTACAAATTGCTGTCGATTTAGAACGTCACATAGCGGCTCGGCTGCTTGATGTGGTGGGGCTAAATTCGGCAATTAGAGGTTTTCGCTCCTGCAGCACAGAAGACAGGCAGTAGTTTTACCTGGTAGATCACATCAGCACATGCCACATTTGTATGGATTAGAGAGCTGCGATGACGCATGTAGACCACTTCTTTCCACCAGTCGGAAAGCTGAAAATTGTTATTTTCAGTTATGCAGAAGTCGCGGTAGGAAGGAAAAAAAGTAGTTTCATTTCATATCAATTTTATCGTCTACTTATTAATAATTTTTTGCTAATTTATTTTTATCAGGTTTTTGGTGTTCATATCTACTTTTAACATGTTTTTACTTATTTGATGATCGTTACGTGTTGATCATGTCAGTGTTTCAATTAGCTACTCAATCACTATTTTTCCAAAAAAAATCACAAACGTACGTAATTCTTGGAAATGAGCCATTTCATCCAAAGCTTCCGCTGGATGTCTTTTGCTATCGTCTTTTCGAATTCATCTGCCTGAACTGCCATTTTGTCGAATTCCTCATCATTGAGAAGCGGTCGCACAGTCTTCAGGTACTAAAAACAACTCATGAATCTAGGGATGAAACTTTTTGAACAAGTCGGTAGTTATAGCACGCGATGCATTGAAAACGATCGGGGCGGGTGCCGCATTATTGCTGAGAAACGGTCCAGAATCCAAGAAATGGAACCTTTTCCTTGCCCGTTAGATATCCGCATTGATGCGACTCTCATCGGTGTTGCCCTCTTCAAAGCTAACGCTCTCTCTCTCTTCTAAATGGCTATAGGGTCAGACAGCGAGAGGAGTACTGGGTCAATAGCGCGTCGACAGCTCCGCGAAAAGGGCCACGCTAGATCGCCGGGGCATATCCTCTGCTGCGAATCGCGTGTCGGTCCATCCTACGTTCCGCCCAACCACAAGTAAGCTTCTCCTTCTTCAACCTTCAACCTTATTGGTGACTCCTACTTAGACATGTACAAATGTAAGGCTGCTGCCTCCCTCCTCGTAATCTCCGCTGGCCATTAAAGAGGGTGCATCACTGCTGGCCGGCAATCATAAATAAAGTCATGAGCAGAAAGGCTTGTCAAGTGGCATCATTAGTACGAAGCATCACCTAATGCTCGAAATCCTACAACGTACAGCAAACTTCTCGTTCCTGCTGGTCACTGGTACCAACTTGGGAGATAAATGCAATGAATTTTCACACGTTCAACTCCAAAGATCATTGCAAGGGTCGCAAGGGCATACGCGTACCATTGTAATAGTTTTCAATGGAAATGCAATTTCTGATGCATCATAGGGAATGATTATTCTACGCCGAGTTTTTCATCCTCCAGCATTCAATACATACTTATACTCATGCCTAAGATATCTGATGAGTTTTTGCAAGGCTGCATGATTACTTTTCATGTATTGAGGAACTTACTGTTTTCACTGTATCCCGTACAGCTGGAGGCAACATCCACGGCAGAAGTCCTTGGAACGAGAAGAATCGAGCCCTTTTCGATAGCAACTGCATGACTGCCTAAAGTGAGATAAAAGTATTGAGAATTTTTTATGACATTCGAAAATTTAAACAGCAGACAGGGTAGGGTAGTAGCTGCTATAAGAGAAAAAGGCAGTCTGTGATTTCATTTATTCATTATTTATTCATTTATTTATCATTATTTATTTATTTATTCATGCGTGCAGTTGACGCGCCTAGAAAGAACAAACAATAGAAAACATTGTGGTTAGTCAATGAGGACGGTAGCCCTACTATCTTTACAAACTATAAAAACTACATGATAAAGACTCCGATAACCCTATATCGTTTCACGATTACGGTGACGGTCCATCTCCAGAAATAAGGGCCTGCTAAGGAAAAAGTGGGGACAGGAACAGTAGGAAATGGGTAAAAGAAAAAAACTGGCCATGGAGTCTCTTCTCGTCCGAAGTTTAGGTTTCAGCCCTGATACTGTTTTCAACGTCATTTAAGACATTGTTATAGATCGCCTCCGCACCTCCTCCCCCTCTCCTCTCAACTTTTACAGCCCCATATACAAGAGCAATAGCCATTAGCTGTGAAGTTAGAGCGAACCTTTTCCGAAGCCCAGAAAAACAACTGACCATGAAACATTGTGTTTGAATTGATGGCTTCGTGCCAACAGATTCGAATAGCCATCCTCTATAGTACAGTAGAAGGGTTATAGCGATTCGAGCGGCATATACAAAAACTAGAACGAATCCAACGGCTGCCACCAAGACGCAACTCAAGTGAAGTAGCGGAGAAGGGCTGAAAGAGAGAACTTGAAGCTCTATACATATTTTCCTTTTTCACCACTGAAGATTACTTCTCTAATAATAAGGCATATTTTCTGAAGTGTTTCCTTCATTCAACAACTAGTTCCTTCGGAACGGTTCACCCCACTAATAGGGTGGGTCGACTACATCGTGTGGCCAAGGCGCAAGAGACTTCTGATTTATATCTGTGCACGTCCTTTTTGCGATTGCGTTGGTGTCTGCATCTCACTTGTGCCGTATGTCCTTTTTTCTTCGAGCTCTTCGCTTCGATGTCTGGTGCCTCCAACATTATAACTACCTTTGGTGGAATTGTCCACTGATGGATGAAACGCGGCCCAGTGTTTCCAGCGAGTTTTTAATTTTTTCCCTTGCAACCAGGGTACCCGACAAGAGGCCCATCGCGCGGAAAGAAGGCAGAGTCAGGGGACGAGCCGCAGCGCGTACTGTAGTGATATCGCGTCAAGGTTGAATAGAATGTACCATTGTACGTCCTACCACACATCGAGCGAACTCGTCCGCTGGCTTGCGCTCTTATCGCGCCACGGCCCTCTCGTCGGGTATCCCTAGCAACTACATCACACCTCTGCTTTCACTTTCGACGCCAACACCACACCTATGTGATGATGGAATGCGCCCTAATTGATGGGGATTATTGTGCTAAGTTGACCAATCCGGGTCATGGACCATTTGAAACAGTCCTAAAAGAATCAATCTAATGGCTGATTTGACAAGATACTTCACAATTTCAACCAAAATTTTCAAACCAATTTTTGACCAGTGTTTCATCCAAATGCAAATTTACCTTTGAAAGCCCCAATGTACAATGTCAAGCGAGAGCAACCCTGTTAATGTTACCGCGCAGTCTATAAATCATCTTAGCAACGTGGCGATGTGGCGTGAAGTAGATGATTTACTACGTGGGCTACGCGGCAACTTGTGGACAATAAATTGGTGCGCCTTGGAATTGCTCCCCTGTAGCGGGTTTGCTCAACTGCACGTTACTGTAGGAATCCGCAACAATTGCAGAACGCTGAGTCTGAACGGGTTTCCCTGCTTATTGGGTACATTCCCAAATAACTTGAGCCAATTTGCAGCTAGTGTTTATTGAAGGGGTGCATGTGGTGCAATGTTAAGTGGTGCCAGAACAAGAAAACATTGGACTTCCACATCGCCACAAATCACGAACTATTAGAACTAATCATATTCGAATACAATTATGGTTTCAGATGGAGCAATAATGCATGGCCCTTTTCCCAAAAGGAATTTTAGGCGGGGATGTTTTAACATTTC